CTTTCTAAAATTGGGGTAATTGCTGATATAAGAAGGGCCTTTCTTCAAATTGGCATCCTAGAGGCTGATCGAGACTTTCTGCGTTTCTTATGGTATGATAAAGATCGTAATCTTATTTATTTTCGACACGCAAGAGTTGTTTTCGGGGTGACTTGTAGCCCTTTCCATCTTAATGCTGTCTTGCAGTTGCATTTAAATCGTGTTTTGGTAGATTGTCTTGAGAGTAACTCTCAGTATTCTTTTTCTGTTATTGATAAACTTCGTAAAAGTTTTTATGTGGATAACTGCGTCTGCAGTGTTGACTCAGAAGAAGAGTTGAGAGAATTTATTGATCAATCAACCAAGGTTATGAATGAAGCAAAATTTGACTTACGTCTCTGGGAATACACTGTATTCAATGATGTTATACCTGACACGTTCGTGTCCAATCTTTTGGGGTTGAAGTGGAATCGTATTGAGGATACTTTAGAAATTTGTTTTGATTAGTTCAAGACTTCTGATTTGCAAACTATTACTAAACGAACCATTCTATCCTTTGTGAACAAAGTATATGATCCTCTTGGATTTATATGTCCTGTCACGGTCGCCACAATGTTCAGAATGAGTAAGACCTACCTGGTTCACTCTTCTGTATTAAAAATGGAGAAGTTCTCAAAATGACTACTGCGGCATAAGAATATTGGCTGGCATCCGTGAAAAGATGAAGACTTTTAGAATCTATTTCTAACGTAGACAACAGTGGATGTGAAAGATATCTAGGAATTTTAAAATTAACTAAAAAGTCTTCATCTTTTCACGGATGCCAGCCAATATTCTTATGCCGCAGTAGTTTTTTTGAGGACTGAAGATAATAAGGGTTCCTGCTCTATCCAACTTATTCAAGCTAAGAGTAGACTAGCTCCAATTCGGAATAAGATGTCTATTCCACGACTGGAGTTATTAGCAGCTACCATTGGTGCCAGACTTTTATCTTCAATATTATCTGCATTTGATGATGAAATTCCGGTTTATTGTTGGTCAGATTCAAGTACAGTGTTAGCTTGGATTCATCGTGAGGACCAATGGAAGCCGTTTGTATGGAATAGAGTTAAAGAGATTCAGTCATTGACTAAAAAAGAAGATTGGTATTTCATTCCTGGTCAATTAAATCCTGCCGATTTGCCCTCCAGAGGTTGTTCTTCGAAACATTTGTTGCAGTCTCGATGGTGGGAGGGTCCTTTTTGGTTACTGCAGGAAAAGCAGTTTTGGCCTAGTGAAAATTATGCCGCAGACAAATCAACAGAGGAAGAATTAAATCGTTCTACTACATCATATGTTAATGTTAAACATGACTTCTCTTGGTATTACAGATACTTCTCGGATTATCAAAAAATTGTAAATTTAATTGGTTGGATTCTTAGGTTTTTAAATAATTGTCGTCGTAGAGAACATATTACAGGGAGATTTCTTACGATAAATGAAATAGAAAATTATGAAAAGGTGATTTTAAAGTTAGTCCAACAAGAATCGTTTACAGGTATTGATGATAAAAGTTTTTCTTCTTTAGTTCCTTTTAAAGACAAGGACGGAATACTTCGTATTAAGACAAAAATTTCTGAGCGGGATGATTTATTTGATTTCAGACACCCAGTAATTCTTCCTTCTCGTCATCCTGTGATTTTGAGGTTAATTTATAAATGTCATGTTGATCACTGTCATATTGGCGTGCAAGCTTTGTTAAGTCAGATGCGAGAAAAATTTTGGATACTGAAGGGTAGAAGGACAATTAAAAGTGTAGTTTCAAAATGTACACGATGTCGAAGGTACGATTCTAAATCTTTTGAAACTGTTCCTGTGTCTTTGCCTGAAAATCGCGTGAAGGATATAGCTGTTTTTGAAATAATTGGTGTTGATTTGGCTGGTCCCTTATTTATTAAGAGTATGGAAAAGGTTTGGGTAGTTATTTTTACTTGCGCGGTATATAGAGCTGTGCATCTTGAATTGGTCTGTTCTTTATCTACAGATAGTTTCCTTCAGGCCTTCAGAAAATTTATTAGTAGAAGAGGTAGACCTAGTATTGTCTATAGTGATAATGGGACGAATTTTGTCGGGTCAGAAAATGCGTTTAAACGTATTAATTTTGATAAAATTGTGGAGTATAGTACTGCACAACGAATTTGTTGGAAATTTTCACCACCAAATGCAGCCTGGTGGGGTGGTTGGTGGGAGCGATTAATTCGATTGTTAAAGCAACTTTTACGTAAAACTCTGGGTACTACTTCGTTGTCGTTTGATGAGCTTTGCACAACGTTGTATGAATGTGAGGCTGTCATGAACTCTAGGCCCCTTACTTACGTTTCTGATGATGCTGAAGATCTGGTACCATTAACTCCACTGATGTTCTTGCAAGAAATAAAAGAAATAGGTGTTCCTGATATTGATAAAGTGGATCAACAGAGTTTAAATAGGCATCTAAAATATCGAGTTAAATTAAAAACTGATTTTAAAACGAGATTCCGTAGAGAATATCTGGGTCAGTTGATTCTCAGAAACAAAAGGTGTTGCCCCAAGGAAATTAATATTGGTGATGTTGTTCTAATCAGTAATGAAGGTATTAGGCGAATTGAATGGCCTTTAGCAGTGGTTACTGAACTTTTTCGAGGAAATGATGGAAATATTAGAGTTGCACGGCTAAGAACATCTACAGGATTTGTGACCAGACCCATTAAAAGGTTATATTCTTTAGAAGTTCATTCTGAAGTAGAAAGAGATGATTTTAGAAAAGAATTAGAGCAGAGAAAAGCTGGCGCTAATAAAGTAGACGTAAACGATGAAGAATCAAAACAACAGAATATTGAACATGCTAAACCTACATTTAGTCGTTATGGAAGACCCCTAAAAGCTCCTGAAAGGTTTTAATTTTAAGGTTGAGTCTATTTCTTAAAAGCCTCAAGGTGGGAGGATGTTGAAAATGAGAGTACTAGTTAGTGTTTTTGTATATTTGTTTTAGATATAGTATATATAGTTGCTATGTAAAACATAATTTTTTATTATTATTGATTGACGATATAATTTTTGAGTTTGTCAGAATTATTTTAAATAAAGTCATTTTGAGAACTTCTCCATTTTTAATACAGAAGAGTGAACCAGGTAGGTCTTACTCATTCTGAACAATTATTATTATTATTATTATTATTATTATTATTATTATTATTATTATTATTATTATTATTATTATTATTATTATTATTATTATTATTATTATTATTATTATTATTATTATTATTATTATTATTATTATTATTATTATTATTATTATTATTATTATTATTATTATTATTATTATTATTATTATTATTATTATTATTATTATTATTATTATTATTATTATTATTATTATTATTATTATTATTATTATTATTATTATTATTATTATTATTATTATTATTATTATTATTATTATTATTATTATTATTATTATTATTATTAACAAAAACTATTTGCCATGATTGATTTTCTTTTTATCAAATATAAGCACATAATTCTAATGGGTGATATCAACTTGGACATGGAGAGTAACACAGAGCATGCCAAGGATATCCGGAATTTTCTTCATATGTATGGTCTCCAACATTTTATTACAACTCCTACAAGAATTACAGCAACGACCAGTTCCTGTCTGGATAACATCATCACTAACATTAATCCTGATAAGATGGAAACGGGAGTATGTGAACCATTAATAGCAGATCATAGTGGTGTGTTTATTTCTATAAAAAATTGGTGCTATAAAAATACGAGTTGCGTTACAACTACTAAACGGGTTGTCAATAGTGATAGAATAAGTAAATTCGCTAACAATATTAACAATTTAAATTGGTCTGATTTTTCAATGACTAATTATAGTGCAGAAAATTTGACTAACTCATTACTAAATAACCTGTGTACGCAACGTGATATTTGTTTTCCATTTAAAGTTGTTCATTCTAAAAATCAAGGACCGAAGTGGTTCAATGAGAGGCTGCGAGATATCAAAAAAAGATTAAAAAATAGTAGAAATTTTTTTAATATTAGTAAAGAACCACAAGACTGGCAAACTTTTTGTAATTTACGCAGTGAATACAAACGTGCAATAAAAGAGGAAAAACGCAAAGCATATGCAAATATTATTGAAAATTCCGAAAATAAAAGTAAAGCCGTTTGGAGTTTAGTCAAGAAAGAAATTCCTACAAAAAGTAACCTCACTTCCTTGTGTCCTGAAGAACTTAATCATTTTTTCACTAATATAGCAGATATCATTACAAAGTCAATCGAATTAGGAAATATTAATGTCAGTTCTCAATATTTCTTATCTAAATTACCTAGGCCACCAACTTCCTTCTTTATGGCACCAGTCATTGATTCCGATATTAAAGAAGCTATATTAACGCTTAAAAACTCAAATTGCCTTGATTATTATGGCCTAAACAGTCAAATGATAAAAGCTTCACTCGTAACACTCATTGAACCACTAGCGATCCTTTTCAATAAATGTGTGGTCGAAGGATATTGGCCAGATGCCTTAAAAACTTCAGACCTATTGCCATAGTGCCAATTATTTCAAAAATATTTGAAATTTTAATAAAAGGAAAATTATTAACATACTTTGAAAATAAAACGTTATTCACAATGGCTCAATTCGGTTTTCGTAAAAAACGCTCAACGATGAAAGCCTTAATTGCAGTTATTGACAACATAGTTGAGGGTCTTGATGATGGTCATCCTACACACGCAGCAATGTGCGACCTCACAAAGGCCTTTGATTGTGTTAACGTCGAAACGCTACTCCTAAAATTGGAACACTATGGCATAAGGGGAAGTATCCTGGAACTTATTAAATCCTATTTATCAGGGAGAACACAGCTTGTAAGCCTTAACGATATGGACTCACAGTTGCTTCCTATCAAAAACGGGGTCCCGCAAGGCTCCGTACTTGGGCCAGTTTTATTTCTCGTCTATGTCAACGACCTCCCATCATCGTTGGGTAATATAGGATGTGTTCTCCCTTTTGTCAAGAGATGGTGAACATCTTAGAGGAGAAATGCTCAAAACAGCGAAAACTTGGTTTAGTTGTAACAACCTAAAACTAAATGAGTCAAAAACACAGAACATAGTATTCAGTTCAGATAAATGGTCATTAAAATCAGAACCAGCAAAATTACTTGGTATCACTCTAGATACAAGTTTAAACTGGTCTAATCACATTGACAACTTATGTGGAAGACTCTCCTCTCAGATATTTGCCATGCGGCAGCTAAGGACCTCTCTTGATAATAAAACAATTACAACCGTGTATTACGCAATGGTCCATAGTGTTATGTCATACGGCATCTTACTGTGGGGAAATGCACCCAATTCGTTCAAGGTATTTAATTTACAGAAGGCTGCTGTCAGGACCATTGATATGGTACCATATGATGCACATTGTGGACCACTGTTCCATAAGTACAGGATTCTGCCCTTGCCTTGTGTTTATGTCTTAGAATCACTGGTCTTCATTCACAAAAACATTAAGAATTTAAAAACGCACTCAGACATTCATTCATATAACACAAGGAATGGACAGAACCTAATTGTACCGTTCTCAAGGATACGATCAACCCAGGTCAATAAGATAGACCTTAATCTATACAATAAATTTATATGCATACATAATGACAACACTATAAAATCAATGAGCATTAACTCATTTAAAAAATTGGCAAAAAACTTTTTACTAAAACATTGTTTTTATAGTGTTAATGATTTTAAAAATTTTATAATGTAACATTATGATTTAATATTTATGCAATCTTTTTATGTTTTAACTTTTTTATATTTATATCGTCTTTTTATGTTTTGACTTTTATATTTTAACTTTTTATATTTTAACATTTTATGTCGCAACTTGCTATATTTTATCTTTTTGTATGTTAACCTCTCTATTTTAAATCTATGGTATTTTATTCATTTGTAAGGCAAAAACGTATGTATATATGTAGAATGTCAATAAAACTCTATTCTATTCTATTATTATTATTATTATTATTATTATTATTATTATTATTATTATTATTATTATTATTATTATTATTATTATTATTATTATTATTATTATTATTATTATTATTATTATTATTATTATTATTATTATTATTATTATTATTATTATTATTATTATTATTATTATTATTATTATTATTATTATTATTATTATTATTATTATTATTATTATTATTATTATTATTATTATTATTATTATTATTATTATTATTATTATTATTATTATTATTATTATTATTATTATTATTATTATTATTATTATTATTATTATTATTATTATTATTATTATTATTATTATTATTATTATTATTATTATTATTATTATTATTATTATTATTATTATTATTATTATTATTATTATTATTATTATTATTATTATTATTATTATTATTATTATTATTATTATTATTATTATTATTATTATTATTATTATTATTATTATTATTATTATTATTATTATTATTATTATTATTATTATTATTATTATTATTATTATTATTATTATTATTATTATTATTATTATTATTATTATTATTATTATTATTATTATTATTATTATTATTATTATTATTATTATTATTATTATTATTATTATTATTATTATTATTATTATTATTATTATTATTATTATTATTATTATTATTATTATTATTATTATTATTATTATTATTATTATTATTATTATTATTATTATTATTATTATTATTATTATTATTATTATTATTATTATTATTATTATTATTATTATTATTATTATTATTATTATTATTATTATTATTATTATTATTATTATTATTATTATTATTATTATTATTATTATTATTATTATTATTATTATTATTATTATTATTATTATTATTAATATTATTATTATTATTATTATTATTATTATTATTATTATTATTATTATTATTATTATTATTATTATTATTATTATTATTATTATTATTATTATTATTATTATTATTATTATTATTATTATTATTATTATTATTATTATTATTATTATTATTATTATTATTATTATTATTATTATTATTATTATTATTATTATTATTATTATTATTATTATTATTATTATTATTATTATTATTATTATTATTATTATTATTATTATTATTATTATTATTATTATTATTATTATTATTATTATTATTATTATTATTATTATTATTATTATTATTATTATTATTATTATTATTATTATTATTATTATTATTATTATTATTATTATTATTATTATTATTATTATTATTATTATTATTATTATTATTATTATTATTATTATTATTATTATTATTATTATTATTATTATTATTATTATTATTATTATTATTATTATTATTATTATTATTATTATTATTATTATTATTATTATTATTATTATTATTATTATTATTATTATTATTATTATTATTATTATTATTATTATTATTATTATTATTATTATTATTATTATTATTATTATTATTATTATTATTATTATTATTATTATTATTATTATTATTATATGTCAAAATTTCCTTAAATGATCCGTATTCGAGAAATTTGACAATATGTGCAAACTTCTGATTTTTAAGAAAATTGTTAAACTAAAAGTTGTTTGCGATATCGATCTCTATAATTTTTGTATTTACATGATTTTTCTAAAATGGACCATAATGGAAAAATTGGAGGAAAAGTGCTAAATTTAAATTTTTCAGTATTTTCGTTTTCAATGAATATCTATAGAAAAATGTGTCGAGTTAGATGTATGTGGAAAATGTTTATAATTAGTTTATCCTCTAAAATTTTATAAAGGTGCTACAAAAGGTTGTACAAAATAACCGGAAGAAGCCTATACAAGATAGGAAAGTCATGTGTTGGACACATCAGATTTTTCGTTTTGTATTCTTTGCGTAGATAAATTAATATCCATGTGGGTGCAGAAAAACTATATTTTCCTTTAAATAGACTGCATATTCCCATATATTTCTAAATAATTTCATAATACCTTGTTCACCGTGGGCGTTATTATGCTAACTCTCCTCAGCCACTTTCAGTGTATATATAAATATATAATTACCCGGTAATCATATCCGGTGCCCGACTCAATTTAAATTAGCTTCCAGTAGATATTTTCAGGTGGATAACAATTTTGTTAAATTGTTTCATAGATATTTGGTAATTAAATTGATTTGACCATCCATAAAATTTAAATTAGAGTTCAAGTTACTAACATAACTTTGACAATACTAATTCGATGTATTATCTACTATTAATTTGAGCCCGTATAAAACTTTTATGTTAAAATAAGGGCTGCATTCGTCAATGTGTATTGTTTTCGAATGTGTTACCACAAAGCACATAGACCAAGGTTAGAACTGGCAACATTTGTTATGTTACTAACTCCAAACAGTGGATAGCGTTACAGTGAAACTGTACCGAAAATAAGATGTTTATTATTTATTTATATTTTTGGTTCTTCTAATTTTTTGTCATGATTTTATTTCTATTGCTTGGCTTTGACTTTTGATTTGCATTCAAAGTTTTACTTAGTTGTTTCTAATATTGGATTTTTTTTTTGTTTCCTACCCTTTTGCAATGATATGATGCTGCATTTTAAACTTCTCTAAATGAATAAGATGATAATAATAATATAATAATATAATAATATAATAATATAATAATATAATAATATAATAATATAATAATATAATAATATAATAATATAATAATATAATAATATAATAATATAATAATATAATAATATAATAATATAATAATATAATAATATAATAATATAATAATATAATAATATAATAATATAATAATATAATAATATAATAATATAATAATATAATAATATAATAATATAATAATAATCTTCATTTGCAACTTCAATTTTTTTATACAGACATAACAGAAAACATGTGCCAAAGAAGGCTGGTAAACAGTTGAGACTAATCAAAGCACTATCCCTGAAATATGTCTAACCGTACAAGTTCATGTAGGACTTGGTTACTTATGTATGTGTCATTGCAGTCGCAAATATGGTAAATTTTTTCCGTATTAATGTTTATTTGGTGATGTAGCGCGAAAGACGTCCATCCGAGTCGACATTTTACAGCTATCGGCTGACCTTTCTCTTCCTCCTTAAGTTTTAGTGACAGAGCAAATTAATTTTTTAGTTTAGTTTTTCAGTTATCTAAAGCAATAATTGATATTTATTAAATCTCATTTAAAATATACTTCATCTAATATTTTTATCGGGGATGTAAAATGTTTAAAAATACAAATAATGTCATTCAAAAATACCATAGATATTACTGCCGTGTATCGATCACCATCCATCTCTCCAGTAATTTTTAATTTAGAATTGTTAAATTATTTAAATCATTTTCATCGCAGTGATATAAATATTATCGTAGGAGATTTAAACATGAATATTTTAGACAGTAGCGACTGTATCGAAGAATATAAAAATATATTAAGTTCTCAGGGCTTTATATCATATATTAATGAATACACACGTTTACCAAGTAAAACTTGTTTGGACCAATTTTGGATACAAACTAGGGCTAACTCAGAAACTGGAAATATAAAATCATTTATATTTAGGTACCATATAACAGACCACTGCCCAATAGGCCTCACATTTAGCACAGATAAAGTAAGTATCAAAGAGCCTTCACAAAATATTAAACGATATATTAATTATAAAAATTTAAAGCAAGAATTAATAAATGAATCTTGGAATGAACTTTATAATGAAATGAATCCAGATATCATGTGTGAAAACTTTATAGCTAAACTAAAATCTTTTATAAATAAAAATACAAACATAGTCTTAATAAAAACGAAAGATATTTATAAAAAAAAATGGCTGACACCAGGTTTGCTAAAAAGTATTAAAAAGAAGCAGACAATGTACAAATATAGCTTAAAACATCCAGATAATATAGAATTAAAAGAACAATACAAAAACTATAATAATCGATTAAATAATATAATTAAAAAAGTTAAGAGAACATATTTTTCTCGACAAATTGAAACTAACAAAAATACATCTAAAGCCGTTTGGGAATGCGTAAAAGATATTTGCGGTAAACAAAAGCAAAATAAAAACATTGAGGAAATTAAGCTTTTAGACGGAAAAACAGTAAAAAAAACGGATGAAATTGTAAATCACTTTAATACTTACTTTAGTACAATTGGAGAAAATTTAGCTGACAGAATACCAGATCTGAATAATTATGAAGATAATTTAGATTTTTTGGAAAATACTATGTATCTATTTCCAACAGACACATCGGAGGTCTTAGAAATAATAAATAATCTAAAAAATAAAAAATCTCCAGGTTTGGATGAAATTCGTGCAGATACGTTAAAACAAATTGCTTACGAAATTGTTGAACCATTGACCTTTCTAATAAATAAATGTTTAGATACAGGGTGTTTTCCTAAGATTTTAAAATGTGCTATAGTCAAACCACTATTTAAAAATGGAAATAAAAATGAATTAGGAAATTATCGACCAATATCGCTATTATCAACTATTTCAAAAATAATTGAAAAAATTTTAAAAATACGCCTTTGCAAATTTCTAAACAAATTTCGTATATTATCTGATCGTCAATTTGGTTTCAGGGAGGGTCGATCAACTGAGGATGCCATTTATAAACTAACATCAACAATTTATAACTCTTTGGATAAAAAAGTACCCATTTTATGTATATTTCTAGATCTCTCCAAAGCCTTCGACAC